AAAAAAAAAAAAAAGAAGCTCGAAAGTCCCCACAACCACCACCACCGCACGAAGGAATAAAAGGGAGAGTTTTATCAGGTGTGCGATGCAGGGACGGCCAATTACTGCAAGAGGTGTACATACAGGTATATGTACGGAGGACGATTTGTATGATTGCATTTGCTCTGGAACGTCGACGCCGGGTTGGTATTTGTTATCGCGACGCGGGAGGGAATTGCCTCGACTGGCAATTAGGACACGAGAGAGAGAGAGAGAGGCGGGTGGAAGGGGGGGATCGGTTTCTTTTTCACTCCAAAGCGAGACTGTACCTTAGCTTAATTGGGGGTGATTTCGTTATTACCTGGACGGACAATAAGCCGAGCCCGGGGTCCTGGGAGTGTGTGTGTACGCGCGTTTGGAGTCGATACATACATGGCCTCTAATCAAAACTCCCGTATTAGGTGCACCAGATGATTGTTTGCTCCTTTTTCTCCTCCTCCTTTCACTTTTTTTTTTTTTTTCTCTTCATCTCGCCGTGTTCTGATACTGCGTTGCGCAAAGCAATTTCGCTGCGGGACAACGCACGGCTCTATACTGTGGGTGAAAAATCTCAGACAAGAAATCTGTAAACGTGGGTCTTTTGATTTCAGGACGACGGTGGCATCGAGTACTACAACACGATAGTGGTGCAGCCGCACCTGAAACTGGTGACGAATCAAGGCCGGGGCTTCCACGTGCGGTGTCGCTACCAGACCCGGGACAAGGTGGTGTCGAACGACCAGACCCAAGTCGACATGCTGCAGTCGCTGCCACTACAAGTGAGGATCATTGTTTGGTTCTTTATTCTTTTTTTTCGTTATCCTGCCCGCGCGTGTGTTATATCCTTAACAATTGTGTGAAAAACAGGCAGCAGCGCCACTGCCGGGCTGTTCGATGAAAATCTACAGCGGCGAGCCGTCGGCCCACCACATCGCCGAGAACGTGAAAATCGGCGATCCCCTGACCCTCGTCATAAGCATCGAGAACCAGGATATGGTCGGCTTGAGGATAACCGACTGCATCGTCAGGGACGGCATCGGACGGGGCGAGCAGAAGCTCATCAATCACGAAGGGTACGCTCACTTAGCATTTACGCGTTTTTAACGATCGATCGGCCATACCTGCACTACTGCTCGACGATTATAATTTTGTTCGTTGGTTCGGAGGCTACGAGAATAATTGAAATTTATCTGACGTTCGAAGAAAATGTAAAGGTAGAACTTGTACGTTCAGTGGAAAGCCGATTGTCGTTGTTTCTCTTTCCCTTGCTCTTCTCCTTTCCCGAGAATCTTCTCCGTAATGGTATTTCTCATTTTTTTTTCTCTCTCTCTCTCTCGTTCCCTTTCAGCTGTCCAGTGGACAGGGAGATCATGGGCCAGTTCGTCTACAACGCGGACAAGACCGAAGCCAAGGTCCACTTCCAGGCGCACAAGTTCCCCTACACTTCGAGCGTCTACTATCAATGCAACGTTAGCTTTTGCATCAAGCACAAAGGAGGATGCTCCGATACGGTACGCCACAATTATACATGTTTTTCCCCACCCACCAGCTATATATATACCCTTCGAAAAATTGACTTGCAAAGTTCATGGCATCGGAAGACCTTTTGTGAGGTATATAGTTACAACGTCCCTGCTCGAAAAAAAAAAAAAAAAAAAATCAAGAGCTCCACCACCACGACTTCTTCGAGTCATCGATCACTGTCGCTTTTTGGTGCAAGAGACGGACGAGCTTCTCGAAAGCAATATTAATGACGCGATGTACAATAAAAAAAAGGAAAAAAAAAAAAATTGGATGAATGGATAAAGGGCGTCACAGGCTATTTGTATACATAAGTGCGGCTGACAATGTGTGCGCTTGTGCTTTTGTGTTGCAGCCGCCGTTGTGTGGCAACGAATTAGCTCGGCGTCGGAGGGACACGACAAAGACCGCGCTCGTCGCTACCAAGGACGGTACCGGTGAGGACGGCACGCCTGCCACCATCGAGGTCTACAGCGGCTTCTACGTCAACGAGGCCGACGTCGTTCCAAAGTCCGATTACTACGACGTCTCCAAAGAAAGGGTGGGTTTTGTGCTCTGTTGAAATAACAATTACTTTTTATTGCACAATATGTACACGTATAGTCATAGGTGGGGAATATCAATAAGTGAAGCTCTTCCTTGGTCTCGTTTCAGGCGTACGACAGCAATCCGGACTACATTTGCATGTCGCAGCGTAGCTTCGCCATCGGTATCGCGATAGCGAGTCTGTTGTTGCTGCTGGCGATAATCGGCGCGGTACTCATGCTGCTGGGCAAGCGACGCCACAAGAGCGTCTCGACTACCGGCTCCTCGATCTACAGCGGTCCCTACACCAACACCGCTTACAGCCACAGCAGCTAAGGAGAATAGCCAACCTCATCGTCGTTCTCTTTCTTATCTGCTATGTTTTTTTTTTTTTTTTTGTTTTTTTTCCCGTTTCGTTTCGTTGCTCCTTGCCTTCATCTTCCGCGACTTTTGCTCGCCTTCCCGAGCGATGCCTCCTTTTTCCATTGTTCTTGCGTTTTTTTAAAATGAATTTTCCCGCTAACTCGGACCGGCACACGTATGTGCCCACGCGAGTAAAACGAACGACAATGTCGTTGTCGAGAGAACTCGAGGAAGGAGGAATTACACGGAAGAGATAGGAGGAAGGAGCAACGGCGCCTTTTTTTCCCCGGAAGATGGATATTTTTTTTTTTTTACTTTTCGTTTCGGTTTCCCATCTCTGATTTTTTTGCTCACGAAGCTACGTCATTTTCGTTTGAAAAGTCAAACGAATCTAGCGTACTTTCGAGTTTTTCCTAACTTTTTGCTTATACGCTTACTTGAACCTTTTTTTTTTTTCTTCTTTGAAAGTGTACTTAATAATTTGGTATCGCGCGCGAGACCAATGACTTACGTTTGGATCACAGCTGAAACTGCCGTGGATCTTGCAGATTACATTTTCAAATCACAAATGTGGTTTTTAATAATTAAAAAAAAAAAAAAAAAAAAAAAAGATGCATTCCTTGCGAAGATAGCGTTGCTTAAAGAGGAAAAGAACAATAACAAAGTGCCTTAACGCTTCGCCTACAGCGCGAGGGCTGATAAAATTCTCACGATAAGACGTAGTTTAGCGCTATTACTTACGATTATAGAAACAATAAGAGGGAAAAAAAAAAAAAAAAAAAGGAAAAACTACTCTTTTACACTAGTCCGGTAATAAGCTGTCCTACATGTATACACATCTAACTACGACCGGTCATACTCTTCTCACTTGTAATAATTTATATTTAACTTAATCATTTCGGATGTAAGTCGTACGATTGTGCGTGCAAGTTCGTCCATAATATTTAAATAACTCGATTTAATTGCGAGGCCGTGGCTGATGCGTGCTAATAAGGGTGAATGAACTCTGCAGTCAGCGTGAGTTATTACAGCGCGTACACGCATGTAGGTTTATGTTTAATTTTTAACTCGATATTTATATATACATATTCCAGCATCGTGAAGAGGCCTTTGTTTGGAAACTCATATTAGTTAGCAGCCTGTTTTTTCACGTTAACTCCGTTAACATTGTAATTCGACTACGGGCTCAATGCTTACTTAATTAATACAGGGTATGTCGTAAACGAAAAAAAAAAAAAAAAAAAAAAAGAATTGTGCGCTCACTGAAATCTACTTTGCTGTGTTTACAATAGCACGTGTATGATTTAGCCATATGTATACCTATACTGTGCGCAATCTATATGGTTGAGAAAAGCAATGAAAGGTGCTGCCGAAAAGTCGATGTTACACTTGTACTCTCCTGTAATACTTTATGGACGGGCGCGGACGAGAAAGTCGATTTGGTGGTGGGTTATAGTAATCGTAAATCGATCCGAAAAGATAAAAGGAAAAGATGTGAGGAAACAATAAACCATCTGGCCTGGAAATTTAGCGAGGAAACCCCAGATTGGTCCTCTTTCCATACGTATATGTATATCAATAAATATGTCCTTCAATCCAGATTACCCATATTTCATTCCCATGTCCCTCCGCGTCATTCCCTTCCTGTATATCTATACTCCTTTTCCTCCTAAATCGCGGGAGTGCAATATTATCATATATGTATTTTGTGCAGGCGTGGCGCTGATAGCCTATATGCATTATTTTTCAAACATATGTAGGTATGCACGTGTGTGTGTGTGTGTGTAATTTCGTGCGGTACGTCGTTTTCCCTGGGAATCGTGTATATGACGAAACATATCGAGCCAGGAGAGACATTCCCAGGGCGACCTACTTGGTAATAGCAGTCGCGACTGCACGTGGCATTGGTTCACAGTGGCATTGGGAAAACTGCTGCATGTAACCCTTCCCTTTTTTTCTTTTTTATCCCCTCCCTTCCCCTTTTTTTCTATAGATTATAACAATTATCATCATACGTTTGATGTACAACAATAATACACGTCTGAAAAATGATCGCCGTAAATTGGTGGTCGTGGCTCACTTTTTGTAGCTCTCAATGCTGCTCTGGACCCTTGCCCGAAACAAATCGATTATTTACAACGAGAAGAAAAAAGTATGGAAGTTGAGAGGATTAAAAAAAAAAAAAAAATTAAAAAAAACCTAATTTTAAATTGTATATACATTAATGAGTAACTAAAAAACAAAAACAACAAAGTCTTACTACTTTTAGGGAAGAAAGAAAAAGCAAACGAGATGATTTTGTATCCATACCGTGCTTTATGATTCTCCTTATTGTACGTAGGGGTAAACGGTACAGTTATTGACACCTTAAGGTAGTGATTGACCCCTGTATAATTTGTATATCTATATATAAAGGCTCCATTTAAAAATGCATGTGGCGGTCAATCACTATCGGGGGGTCAACAACTGTACCGTTTACCCCTATAAGTATGGACTCGTGTGCTAATCATACATCAACTGATATGAATATAAACATAGAATTCTCGAGCAATGGGAACAAGTTCCAAGTATTTTGTCACAACTGGTGAAGAAACTTGAATTTTACTTGAATTTCCAGCGTTCGGGAAAATTCGAAGCTAATCATGCAATTTGATTATCTATAATTTTAATAAAAACATTAATAAAACTCGAATTGTTTGAATAATTTTTTATTCCTACCACATTGTGTTCTTTTTTTTCATATTTTTATTTATTTATTTTCAGATTCATTTTTAATCTCATGTATATGTATGTATGTGTATACATGTATTAACAAATATCAATACAAAACATTCAAAAATATTTAAAAGTAAGCAATTATATTAGTTCATAAAAAATTACATCATCACTTTGACCTCTCTTCATATACAATTAAGTACAATTTACTAACATAACAATGTACCTATAATATATATAATATCTTTCATATGATATTGTAATATTTGGGTATGTTCAGGAACATGCAGAAGAGGTTGTCATAAGGATATCAAAATAGAATGCCTGAATTTTATTGAATTATTATATGTAATTCGTTTTTGGAAAATATTGTAATATATGTAATATTTATATATATATATATATATGTATATAAGGTAACAAGAGATATAATTAGAATGACATGAGTTCTATCNCGAATTTTGCATATTAGATTCCCTCGTTTACTTATTTTTTTTTATTTTTATTATTTTTTTTTATTAAGATTTTCTTTTTCTCCTAGTCACGCTTCGAAGCTGGAATTGCTGGAAACTAAAAACATTATTCATACAGTTATCATCGTGAATGGACATGAGTAAAAGATAGAAAAATCTTGACAGATAAATAAACAATTTTTACAAAAAAAAAAACGTTCTTCGGACGTCTTGATAACAAGATCAAACAATATTTGTTAGATACGCAATCGTTACGATAAAAATAAATCCATCGGTATGTATATAATAGCAATAACAACTTCGAATAATCAATCAAATGAATTTACAAAAATCTATTCGATGTGACGATTTTGCCAAATGAGTGGAATCGACGAGCGAAGCCTCTTGTTTTTCTCTACAATAAGTATATAATACCAATTAAGGGATGAGACAAATGAAAATTCATATCAAGAGAGAACACGAGTTCGCTACATATTTTTTTCTTATTTTTCTTTTTAATCATTATAATTTTTTTTTTTTTTTTTTTCTCGAATTCTTTTATTTTTCTTGGCTTGTTATTCCTCTCAATGATTTTTCGTTTTTCATCCAACAAATCTTGCGACGTCTTCTTTGGAGTGGCTGCACACGTAAAAAGGTACTCCATTCGCAAACCGGTTTCTTCTTTTGCTCTTGCCTCGATTTACGTGAATTTGGCTTTGTCAAGGATTAAATTAAGTTCGCGACGTTGCACGCGATACAGCAAGTGACCTTCGACGCCTCCTGACAAGTGCAGTGAACGTAGGGTATATTATGTATAATAATCATTTATTACAATGAGTTATGTATCACATTTTACCTTATACGAAACGAAAGGTGTTATATTATACAAAATCAGATACTTAAGCGCGATGTTTCGAGACGTTTTCATATGTAATGGACGAACGATACTTGCTGTGTCCGGCGGGGCATATGCGCTATAGGGTAACTATATCATAGATAGGTCAACGGGATGAATACAAATTATAAGTCTGAGATCGTTCTTTCTTGGAGACGCTAATTGGATATACCTATACTTTATCGCTACGACGTTAGAGGTATGGCAAATACTATACGTACGCTGCGCTCAGGTGTTTCTATAAAAAGTTGTCTTTTTTTTTCTTTTCTTTTTTTCGTCTGTCAACAGTTCAAGTGTATACTGGTATTCAGGTGTGACGAGTGTCGATGAAGGGCTTTTATAGAGAGAGAGGCAAATGCTCTGCAGCACGTTTTTCTTTTGTTTTTTTTTTTCTACAACTTTAAGTACAATCACCTTAAGCGAAGCTTTTTGGATGGATTCCACTTGGTATATATAATATCATATGGTTTTTTTTCTCATTATTTATTTGTTTATTGGTTTTTTTTTTTTTTTTTTTTTTTTCAACTTCATTTCTTTTACAAAACGACGCAAAAAAACTTGTGCTGTGGTGTGAAAAGTATAATAAAAAATACGCTTGATATTCAATGTAAATATATACGCACGTTTGTTATATTGTATCCGATTGGTGTGAATAATGTACGAATAAATTTATAATAGATATAGAGAGTACGGAGAATATAATAAGTAAAAAAAAAAAGTTTTTACCGTCGTCGCAAAAGAAAATATTTATCACAACATGTACAACGTTATTTTGTAATGGTAATATAGTATAGCAGCTGAATTTCTGTATACCTATTATTACCATTGTTTTGTTTGTAATTTTTTTTTTTTAAATTGCTGTAACTTGGACAGCTTCTCGATGAGCGAAAGTATAGGATAATGACCGTAGTATGTTTTGCGACCGCAACTGAAAGCGAAATCCCTCTGATGCGTCGGATTGCAGTTTTTTGTTTTTCACAGACGGAAACGTTTTATTGTGTATTTTTAATGCCATTGGCGCACGTAAAATCACTGCGGCTTTGCGAAAATATATTCATAATGTATACCTTTCTGTTCGTCGTACATATCTTTGGTAGATATTTTTTTTTTTTTAATTTATTATTATTATTATTTTTTGTTTTTGTGTAACGAAAACGTGCACATATACAGGTAAAAATGCAAACATCCGAAAAATGAAACACAGAGTTCTTTTGGTGGTACAAACGTTCCAAAGCTACGCAGTGATTTTAAGTGCGCGGAAAAATGACTACCGACATATTATTATCAACTATACAGACATGAATACAGGCTATCTACTGAATACGTTTACAATATAGTCACTCGACGGACATCGATTTTTGTTTATCTTTTAATGATTTTTTTTTCTTTTTTTTTTTTTTCTACGAGGGAACCACCTCTTTTTCTCCACCGATAATCACGGTTAATGGAGATCTGCGTTGTCTTAAATTCGAATTGCTTGACTTGTGTTTGCTCGGCTATTATTATTGATTAGAGCATAATGGTAATTGCATTATAGACTGCATGGGATTATCCTTGGCAATGCGATGACTCGGATTTTTTTTTTCTTTTTTTTTCGTTCAAATGAGTCTGTATATTTTTTTTATTACTATTATTATTAATGAATTATAATCGTCATTTAATAACATATATGCGACATCGATTGCATTTAAAAAATAAATAAGTACTAACCAGAGTACTTTTGAATATCTTTTTTTTTCTTTTTTCTTTTTTTTTTTTTT